GGGGGGGTGCGCGACAAAGGAGGGATTGGGCCCACCCAAATGGAATGGGATCATTAGGGGTCCAGAGAGCTCTCTACCTCAGTTAAGTACAGTGCCACACACATCTAGGGTTAAAGGTTTTTGCCGGCGAAGCCACAGTTCTTGCCCGAAAGGCTTAGAAATCCACTGAGGCTTGCCCCAACCATCATAGGAACCAAATACAGAGAAGAAGGTACAGTTACTGTGTGAGATGTGGATGAAGATCCTGATCAGAAGGGTCCTCGTAGTAGAACCTTGACTTAGTAGGATGTGGTAACAATAACGCAGACAAACAGAAGGGCTCACGCGAGGATCTTCCGCCACGTGCCATAGCCCTATGTCTTGAGCCATTCGCTCCGTAACTCAGTGACACATAAATCCACATCCCTAACATTTCCTAGACATGTTTCGAACCATCGAGACATTTCGACCCTATATTCCCTCAAAATAACAATCTTCATTACAAGGACCCCCCTCAAAAAGGGATTCGAACTTTCGAAAATCCCTCTATTGAACCCCACCTCGGAGGCCGCCGGAGGCCTCCGACCTCGGACTAGTCCTGCTGACCTTTTGCGAGGTTCAGGGTGCTCAATTGGTGCAAGATTTGGAGCATTAAGCGTTTTGGCATTGAGGGCTGTTTTTTTTTTGGAGTGCTGGGGCTTAAGGTTTAGATATTCAGGGTTTGGTGTGCTTAGAACAGGGTATGCAGTGTATGGTCTGTTTAGGGCTCGGGTTCTTTGGTGTTGCGTGGACTTAGCGAGTGAGCTTGTAGCCCATGATCTAACGGTTTTCTGAAACGCGGGGAGACCTGAGGACCGATTGTAGGGGGGTTTCGTGGTTATGACATGTCAATTACTTCTAACCCTCGGCATCCAAGACTATAGATAAAACCTACTTAGGCCTAAAGTCTATACATAATACACAATTTTGGTTATTGGTTCCTTGGATGGTTAGGGTGCGGGATGTTGTCGAGACGAGTCGTGGTGGGATTGTTGGAGGCCTCAGAGGCGCAAAACGAAGAGTTCTTCACTGCTGTGCGGCGTGGCCGCATAGCTGAAGTGGAGGACCTTGAGACCAGAACTGCTCGAAACAAGATGGCCTTTAGACGGCTGAGCATAGTCTAGGTTTGGATGGGAGGGTTGTGGCCTTTGACTAAAAGCTGGGTTACGAGACATTTGCAGGAGATGCTCCACCGTCCTGTTCATCCAGATTCAACCGACAGCAAGGCTTGGGGATCGCCGCTGTATTTTGCTTCGCACCGGGGTGATTCTGAGATGGTGCGATTGCTGCTGGAAGCCCGTGCAAACACTGATGACCGGAGACAGCAAAACTTCACGGCTCTGGGCATTGCCTGCGCTGTTGGCCACGAAAATGTTGTAAAAGTTCTGCTGGAGGCTGGTGAGGACCAAGACGGTGCCTGCACCTCCGAGGGCACAACGCCACTGGGTGCTGCGGCTGATCGTGGTCGAGAAGAAGTCGTGCGAGTACTGTTGGAGGCTGGTGCTGACAAGGAGAAATCTTGGGGGGCGGAAGGCATGACTGCCCTGGGCTTGGCGGCATTGCAGGGCCGGGAAGATGTCATTCGTTTGCTGCTGGAGGCCGGCGCCGACAAAGAACACCGCTGCCGAGGTGGCGCAACGCCTCTAGGCATGGCGTCCAGCAAGGGCTACGTCGGATGTGTTCGCGTATTGCTGGAGGCTCGGGCTGCCGCAGACGCCTCCAGAGATGATGCCACGACACCTCTGGGGGCAGCTGTACGACGTGGTGGTTCCTGGTCTGGGCCTTCTGTGGCCATAGCGCGCCTTCTTCTGGAAGCTGGGGCCGACAAAGACAAGGCAAGTAGAGCAGATGGTGCGCCACCTCTGGGTATAGCTGCGGGCAAAGGCCATATAGATATGGTCCGTCTGCTGCTGCAGGCTAGAGTTGACCCAGACACCGGGCTGCAGCATATGATTTCTCCATCCGACAGTGAGCCCTAGCTTCGAATTGTTTGCTTTTGGCCTTTGGCACCAAGGATAAGGCTTGGAAGGATGGTGCAAGCTCAACGCCTCTGGGTGTCGCATGTCGCTACGGCCGCGTCAAAATTGTGTCTTTGCTGCTGGAGGCTGCCGCAAGTGTGGACAAGCCCTGCAGGCGTGGCGGTGGGACACCTCTCCGCATGGCGTGCCGTCTGGGTTCTGCAAGGATTGCGGAGCTGCTCCTTGTGTTGAGATAGCAAAGGATCTGTTTTCTTGTCGATCGCAAGTCACGCCTTGTCGCAAGCCTAGAAGCTTCTATTTCATAAGAATGAGCCACCCCTCTTTCCGGATACGCGGTAAATTGCAGTACTTCTCGTTTCGTTACAACCTATGGAATGCTGATGACGGGGGTACGGGGAGGGATGTGTAATGTCTTGAAGGCTGCTGGATGCTCGGGCGGATGCTGGGCTCTTGAGTCTGATGCAGCTGGGTTTTGGAGTTCAGGGTTTGTTTCTTAGGGTTTAGGGTCTTGAAGGCTTTGGGCTTTTCGTTCTTTCGTTCTTCCGGGTGCAAGGAGGTTTGGGCTGGTTCCAGTCAAGGGACTTTTGGTGTCATCCTGTCCCTCGAGGGCAACGGATGGCGCAGATGCCTGCATTTGTCATTTGTAGCAGTGGTGCCGCTGCGCAAGTGCGAGGAGAAGCGTAGCTATCGCTTCACAAGAGTCTGAACCACCTGCCACAACCTCTAATTTTGTGTATTGCCCTTGAGTGCCCAGCAGTCACAATTGTTTTTTGACATATCGGCCGGGCTACATTTTAATGCTTCCTTATTTGATGTTGGATTACGATATGAAGTGGCCCAGGACACAGAGAAGGCCTGGGGTGAGCAGGGCACAACCCTGCTCCAGGAGGCCTTCTGGAGGGGCCAAGGAACAATCGTGAGGCTGATGCTTGGCAAGTTTTACATTACAGGCTTTGGGGTCCAGGTTTCATGTGTCGAGGCTTGGGGTTTGGAGTTGAAGGGGTTGCAGGCTTCGGAAGAGCGGTTCGAGGTAGGAGCGACTGGGGATGCGGAATTTGGCAAGGTGCTTGGGGTGCGCAAAGAATCTTCGCCCTTCGCGGTAGACATTTTTCGTTTGTACAGGGAAACTCCAACAACAGCTGAGCTCATTTTCAACTACATGCAGCCGTGCGCAGAGTGACAGAAGCACTAAATCATGGGACATCAATGGTATTTATAAGACCAGTCGTGTGGGCTTCCGCCGGCCTCCTAAAAAGCACCTGGCTTTGCTTCCTCAAGAACCATAGAGGTTGCAATGATATAGCAGAAGCAACGGCGGTAAGCCCCACGTAGACCCAGCATAGTGGCAACAACCGCAGACATGGACAACAACTGTCATAGCAGGACCGATGAACGACGACAACCCTGAAATTGGCTACAGGTTACCTTCCATAAAGGAGTGTCAGCGTATCTGTAAGGATGGGAGGTTACATTCAGAACGCCGATGACAAATTATGAGCTCTGTTCAAAAGAACGCCCAGAAACGAATCCAAAGCCTTCCGACATACCTCGCGCAAAAATGTTAAGAAAAAGTTGCGAACCGAAGGTCCTGCAAGCTGTTGCAAACTGTGGGCTGTGGCTTTGTTGTTGGGAGCCACTCCTACATCCAACCTAAACCTTCCATGTCATGCAGTGCTGGGATCTGGGGAGCCCAGGCTAAAGGAGCACTGAGGAAACCTTCCGTGATCGGCTTTGGCAGTCGGGGCTGAGGGCTTGGGTTGTTGGTCTTCCTGAGGCTTCGATTTCAGTCGAACTCTGTTCAGGACACCCAAGATGCAACTTCTATACGCTAGGTCGTGTAGCCCAAGCCCATCCCAAAAGCCCAGTCCTTGCAGTTGTTGGATGCGCTTCTGAGAGATCGTTTTGTACAAGCTTAGTATTCTACCGTGAGGTAAACTTTATCAAGGTTCCCATGCTAACCATGAAAGCTCTCCAGAAGCGCCTTGCAGTCTGCAAAGTCTCGCTGGAGCCCTGCGCTGGTGCAAAAGCAAGACGCATGAATCCCTGCCCACATGTTTAGGTTGCCCGGGCCAGGGTGGTCATCACCGGGCTATATTGGCGTCTGGGAGAGGTTAGGGAGAGGGTAGGGCTTAAAATGAAGGGCCCCCTTCCGGTACAGAGGAATAACCGCCAATATTTACGTTTCCGTGAAGAGTCCAAGCAGGGTTCCACGTAAAATGGCGTGGCCACGTTTCTTGCTCACATTTGGGTGGTGATGATCCAAACGCCCCTACATATCCCAGTTTCCCGAGGGCACCCGGTTCTGAGAGGCCCCGCGTTTTTGCCCACACCTAGTTGATTTTGAAAGGCACTGCAGACAATACCATGTGCTGTTGGAATCATGTCACCTGCCAAGATGTATGCAAGTATAGGAAACATGGTCTGTCTCCGCATGACAACACATTTTGCCATGGAACCTGCCATGCCAAGCCACTGGATTTCCGCAATATTCCCACCGCCGACATACGAAGCCTAAAGAGCCTAAGCCCAGAACCCACCCAGATTAAGCTGAGAATCAGCCAGCTCGCTTGAGGTCAAAGGCCTTCAGGAGTTCATCATGTGCTTGAGGCCCTTTGGTGATGTTGAAGATCTGGGGTATTGGGAGTAAAACATCTTGGCGGACACGCTGGCTCCAGCTCACGCTAGTCCAGCAAGCAAGCTGGGTGCGCGGGGCTTTTAGGAGGATAGGCAGCAACCCTGGGTGCATCCATAAACTGGGTAGGCCTCTGGGCTATTTAGTATTTTCCCTGATGGCGTTCATAAGGGGACTCTTTTTACGCATATTTTTCAAAGGGTTTTTAGGTGCCAACCCAGTAACTTTTATTTTGAACGAGGAGTTTGCCCTAAGCCTACTGGAGGGTTCCGGGCAGCGGGTTTTTGCAGCGATGCAATTTGCCTAATTGGAGGTTCATCCATGTCTGAGGAGCCGTTCTAGACTTTCAATGTCTCCGACTTCCGGCGCACGCTGTACTCATGCCTTTGCCAGAAAGCCAAAAGATCAGCATCCCAAGCTAGGTCCAGTGAAGTTGGTAATAATGAGAGTACTGAGTTGTATTCTTCTTCATTTCCTGTACCAGGGTCCCGGCAGTGGCCCGTGAACCCTAAGCACTATGCCCTGACCCCTGGACCCAAAGCCTTAGAAGCACTGAACCCTCAGACCCCAAACGCCTCACCCAAAACACTAAACCATCCTGAACCCTAAACCCCATATCCTACACTCCCAAACCCTAGAACCCCCTCAAAACGTCAAACCCTAAACCCGGGATCCACGCCGATGCCAGGGAGAACCACTCTGGCATCCTCCAAGGTTTCGCACCTTGGCTCTCAAGTGATTGTTTGGTTCTTTTGAGTTTGAAGGTCTGGGGTTTGGGAGCCTAGTTGGTGCAAGATTTGGGGCTTTAGGTGCATATGGAAGCCCCATATGAACCAGTCTCCATTTCAGTTTCTGCTGACCCCTAAACCCTAGAGTGTCGGTTCGGATTCTGGAGTGCCCGGGTCCAGGAAAGTATGTGATACCAAGTAGACATGGACTAGTCTAGGGGGTCCGGGAAGTAGGGTTTAGGCTTTAGGCTTCTAAGGCTTAGCCATTTACGGGCTGGTGTTTAAGGGGGAGTGGGAGTGGACCCGAAGTGTACTTGCATTCCCTCACCTACTTCCGCTCAGGCTCTAGTAAGCTTAGGGTTTCTGGAGAATTGGGACATGGGTTCGGTAACCATCGTCTTTGTTCGTAGATCTCAGACCTTTCTGCCGAACTCGGCAAGTTTGAACCTAGATGCCACGCCCCAAGCTCTGTTTTTCCAATCTGAACCTTAATGTAAGGCCTTCAATACCCGCCTCCTAACTCCCCAGACGTTCTCTATCCCTGCAACCTACATGCAAATGATACGTCCTACTGTCTTTCTCCATGCTGAACCACTTGAAACTCCCGGAGAGCCTAGGTGCCCCCTCACGGCGTATCCAACTCCCTGGTTCGCACAGTGAGGGCCCCATCAAGGGCAGTTAGGGTTCAGCTACACGAGTACTGTAAGAGGCAAGTTGGGTATGCATCCGGGACATAGGGGCAGCCTGCCATGTTTGTAAGCTCCGGGCGCGGGGTTGAGGATTTAGTGGCTTTAAGGCACCTGAGGCGATTCTGTTGGCAAAGCTTGCTGTGTAGCATATTTCGAACGCAAAACGAATGTTCGCGGATTCCGGAGCCCAGTCTGTATTGTGCACGTGGTAGAGATGGCAGAAAGGGAAGTGATTTTGCTCTTTATTATGCGGGAATCCGGAAATCAGCGTATTTCTCAGAAAGATGATATGCCACGAAATCATACTGCACTCAATCTAAGACACTAAGAACCTAACCTAATCTGCAAAGTGCTTGGGATGTTCCCGCGCCCCACAGTCTACAATCCCCAACATATTCGGGCCCACCAGACCCCAGGTTGACTTGTTTAAGGGGGGCGTGGAGAACTGGATCCCTGTGTGGCTCCACATATACACAGCAATCTAAACATCCCTGCTGTAGTCCCCTGTATCCACTCCACGTTCCCTCAAGCCCTCAACCGGAACTCCTACGCCCCAAATCTCTAAACTCCATGACGATACTATATCGTCCCCTATATGTACTTGTTCATACACGCTGCTCCATCGCAGTACCTATATCCACGCCCCACAGTCTTCTTTATGAGTTCTTATTTCTTATTACTGTTACTACTATTATTTTACCGGTTTTATTTATGCCCCACTCCTCCTTCTGCACCAGCAAGTTGGAGGTGGAGTTTCGCCGGCAGACGGCCTTGGCCATGCGAACAAACAGGGCCTTGCTGGCTGGAGGCCTCATCTCTGTAGTCTCCGAATTTATTTTTGAATTTCTGTTACAGTATAACCCTAAGGAAATATTCAGCATGCTGTTTTTTTGGAGGTCATCTAAGAGGTTGGGCTTTAGGAAGCTGCCGTGGGGTAGGGTTTGGGGGTTGAGCCCTCTCAAGGAATGAACAACTGGATGTCCAAGGAATTTCCGAATCATTTACCCTAAGCCCTAAACCCATGATAATATAGTAGTTCCCATTTTCGGTTCCAGTATCCTTATAGAGCTCCTATATAACCCCTAAACCCTAAACCATTTACCCTAAAGCCTAAAGCTCTTCATCTCTACTCGCCTCGGTCGCTGCACAACAGGCTCTTCCAGCCCTTAGCCCCAGACAACAAAAACAAGTACCCCACATTCTTAACTCCAAGCCCAGTGCCCATGGGATAATGGAACATAAAATGGAAACTACAAAGATTATAGGGGGTATATAGGGGTTAAATAGGGGTTATATAGGGACTATGGGGTATATGTTGGGGGCTATATAGGGATAATGGAAAAGAAAATGGAAACTATTCTATTGTAATAGGGTAAATATTGGGGTTAAATATAGTCCCTTAAGTAGATAGAATATGGCTTTGGGTACAAGATAATAGAACCCTAAACCCTAAACCCTGAACTATAACTTGAGCATGTGGCCTTTCAGGCGGCAACCTCTTCGACCGTTGTGCCACCTTCGAGGGCTGGGAAGGCCAATTATAGTATTTGGGCCCTACTTGAGGGTTCATGGGACTTAGTCACTACTTATAATTGGGCTTATAACCCTACTTATAACCCCCCTAAAATGGCCTTAGAGGGGCTACCCCAATTATAAGTAAGGTTATAACCACAGTTATAAATAGTTACTAAG